GGCTATATTTATAATATTCTTATTTCCACTGATTGTTTACAATATTCTTGATTGTTACAAATACATCTGGTATGCAGAGCTTATAATCTGTTTGCGCACCAGAATCAATGGCTTTCTTAGCTAATATATCAAGCCCTATGTGAGCTTTAATCCACAAAAATCTGACTGTTCTTTGTTCCTGATGTAATTCAAAAATAATTTTTTTGATTAGTAGGATGTAAATATTTGTGCTTTTGCTAGGAAAAGATATAGTCTCAATGGCTATAAGAACCGATAATGAATCAGATGCAATTATTGCGGAGTTGTCATTGGAATTCTTAAAATACTTTAATGCCTCATAAATTGCTATGGCTTCAGCAGTAATAATTGAAAAATTATGATCTAGAGTGAACATGTTTTCTATACTTTTTAAAGGAATATAAAAAGCGCATCCAGTGCCAAGAGTAGACTTTGATGCATCTGTATAAATAACTGTTGATGCTGGTGAGTTTTCTAATAGATTCCTTAAAATATTGTAGCTGATTGCAGTATTTACATGGTACCTTGGTTTAATTACCGTAATAATTTGCAAAAAAGCATAAAATTCTTCAAAGTTTGAATTATCATATGTGTATGAGTTGGTGTAATCGCAATTTGAGAGATTTCTAAAAGCGTCACAAAGTGGAGGAGAATTTTTGTGGATCCAATATTTATTTGTTAAATCTACATTATTAGGTTTGCTAATACTGCAGTAAAGAGAGAGGTTTCTATGATGAGTTTTAATCAGAAATTTTTTACTAAGATATTCTCTTCTATATTTGAGTGGAAATTCTAGTGCTTCAACATATAACGAATTGGTAGGGGTTGATTTCATAGTACCTAGGCAAATACGTTATATTGTGTTTTGAAACACGTCTATTTTTCCCAAGATATACTTAGCTGCTGAACCATACAAAACACATCCATAATCTATGATTGATCTTATATACGATCCATAAAAAAGTAACGCAGTTTCTACATCGGCTCCCCACCAAGTTTTAGAAATTGCTTTAAGGAAATTTAATCCCTTATTACATCTATCTAACATGAAGTCAATGTGTAACTTCCAAGTTAATTTACGGTCAAGAATCATCCCTAAGTATTTAATTGAAGAACAGAAATTATATTCCCGACTGTTCACTGTTAACTTGTCTATTTTTGATAGAGATTATGCCTCGTGAAAATACATATACTAGATTTACTTGGTGCTATTTGGAACCCATTTTCTTTAAACCAGCTATTGGAGTAGTCGTCCATTTTTCCCAAAATTTGTATGCACTTATCGTATGTTTTGGATGATGAATATATAAGAAAATCATCAGCATATTGTATAACACTTGTACTCTTATTGTATAACACTATTGTATAACTGTTATTTACTAGGGAGACATTGTGCAAATCAGATGTATATAGATTAAATAATAAAGGGCTTAAAACTGACCCTTGTGGAAGTCTTAGGTTGTTGTATCGAGGACCTATAAGTTTATTGTTATTTGATCTCAAATAAATTTTTCTTTTGGTATAAAAGTTGAGAATGGTTTTCACTAATGTAGCTATTACTATGATCTCTATTACTTGCTCTAGTATCTGACCTTCCACTTCCAACTTCCATCTTATAACCATGCATTTTGGCTTTTTTGAGGAAATTAACATGTTAAATTTTCTGGTTATTATATTAAATTGGTGCAGCATACGTTGTAACTAATCTTTACTCTGAGAGATAAGTATTGCGTCGTCTGCTGGCCGAAGGCAGCAGAGTGGCAGAACATGTAATAGTAAAAGAAATACTGGAAGACCAAAAACAAGATAGTACATACAATGCACAAAGCTAATATCAAAGAAGAAGCAGTTATGAGCCTAAAAGAAAGAAGATAAAGTTTGCACTTTACACTTTACTACTCTTTGACTTACGCAATAATAGTATTTTCTGGAGTAAAATGAACTAAAATAAATGAGCAACTTTTGTAACTAAAACCAAAAAATATTCGATATTACCTAGAATATATACTTTTTTGTCTTTTATAGTGTCTATAAGGCATGTTTCAAATGTTAGATATTCGTATACAACTATTCTTATCATAAAAATGATAGATAACCTCGACATTTCTCTTAAGCTGAAGGTAGTGTTTTTTGATATTTGTTTTAGTACATACGTAATCATTTAACTTATATCATTTTGTTTTTAAAGTATTACCTTATCTGTTTAATAACAAAATCAATTTTTGTTTTCAAAATAACTTAAGTTGGGTCAATATTCAAATAAATAATATCAGAAAAAATTACGTTACAATTTAAATAGGTTAGTTTTAGTTTATTATATTTTCTATATACAATGAACAACATTGTTTCATTCACAAATATCATCACAAATAAATAAATAAAAAATCCATATTAGAATCAAACAGCCCACATGAAGAATGGACATATGGTGAGTGAAAACATAACCATTTCTAGAGGGGTAAGACAGGGCTGTATTCTTTCGCCACTGCTTTTCAACGTGTACACGGAACAAATATTTCTAGAGGCACTAGAAGAGTACAATGAGGGCATCAAGATTAATGGCGTACCAATAAGTAATTTTCGATATGCAGATGATACTATTATACTGGCCGATAACATCGAAGATTTACAGATGATGCTACATAGAGTTAATACAACTGGCAGCCGATTTGGACTAAAGATGAATAGAAAGAAAACTAAATTTATGGTGATCAGTAAAAAAAAATTTCAACATATCGACCTGCATATTGAAGACGAACGTATTGAAAGAGTACACCGATTTAAATATCTGTGATATACAGTAAATGACAAGTGGGACCCAGAAGTAGAGATTAAGATCCGAATTGAAATAGCAAGATCCAAATTCATCAAAATAAGAAAGCTCTTAAGCAACCGCAACCTAAGCATTAACCTCCGATGGCGCGCCACGAAATGCTACGTACTCTCTACGCTACTTTACGGCGTAGAAGGGTGTACGTTAACAGTAGCAACTATAAAAAAGTTAGCGGCTCTAGAAATGTGGCTGTATCGACGCATACTGAGAATACCTTGGACAGACAGAGTGACCAACACAGAGGTATTAAGACGAATGGGTAAAGAGGTGGAATTGTTAACAACTGTTAAAAGGAGGAAAGCGTCATACCTGGGCCATGTATTCCGTAATGATAAGTACAGTCTGCTACAGCTTATCGTGGAAGGCAAGATTGAAGGTAGAAGAGGTTTGGGCAGAAAGAAGAAATCCTGGCTGAGAAACTTGAGAGAATGGTTTCAAATACCAGAAGCTGCGAACATAATTCATGCGGCACAAAACAGAGAAACCTATCGTATGATGGTCGCCAACCTTCGGTAGAAGACGGCACATAAAGAAGAAGAAAGATTCACAAATAGGAGAGAAATATGATTTATTTAACCCTCGACCACAAATGGAACACAGCTATCGTCCTCGGAATTGGTTATAGTCGGGCATCAGGGTATCCATCTGTATGCATGGAAGATTGGATAGTTAAAAACTATTTGATATTTTTCTGCATCAAGCAGTTACTGAAATTTTAAAATAACTATTATGATGGTGAGCTATAGGGGCTACAGTGGGGTACAATGGCCAGTTTTAATTAGCAAATAATTCAAATCTAGGTGCATGCTGTCATCTAATTATAGAACTTTGAAACTGTTTTTCTTTCCAGGAGTGCATATTATATTAATGGTTATAATTCAGTTTTCGGTAAAATTCATTAAACGTAATTTATTAGGTGGCCGGTAAATTTTATCACATGGAAAGAAGTGTAATAAATACTTATAAATCCATATTTATATATTTTGTGATAGTTTATAATTTGAAGGTACTTTTAAGGTAAATTTGCAGTTAATCAGTTTTTTATTTAACTTAAGGTTTATCTGCACCCTTAATTAATTTGTTTCTGATCCTAGAGATGGCTCTACTGCGGCATGCTGCTGTGATACAATTTTCAACTAATTGTAGATTTCTACATGATATGACTACTATGACTCTGTAATATTTACAAACCTTAACATAAATTACAATTTTCAATCGTTACATCCATTGATTGAGTTGCCAAATTGTGTAGACAGCCATTTTATTAAATACTTAACAAATGTTAAGTATTTAACGAATTAAACGAATAACTTTATTATTAGTAGACCAAGTAAACGGAGGTATCTTTTACATCTTTATGTATAATATTTTACTGCTCTCTTGTGTCATCAGCCCTGCTCATTATGTTTTAGAATTATTTTCTCGTACTTATACAGAGATTGTATTAATAAACATGTGGTAATGATTATTGTTTAATTATTTTGTGCCCTATATGAAGGTTTACTAACTAATTAACTAGGCATAACTACTATATTATGTAAGTTATGCCTTCGCAAATAAGGTTCCATTGACACTAATTGAAAAATGATTCATATTATCTCAACACTTTCATCGACAAAGAAATATTTATGTACGGTAGCGGCGACATCTGTGAAAAAAGTATTACTATCAAATTCATACTTGTCATCAATACATTTGTTGATAGGTAAAAATTAAATGATCTGGTCCAATTTAATATCTTAGTGGGAATTACATTTAGGTGAATGTTTAATCGTCAAAAATGTTATTTTAAACTTGCGAACATGTCTTGTTGCGAACAATTCTTCTTTATATGTGTCCAAACCATATCAGTCTTTGTGTAATAATACATTTTACTGTCCTCCCCTTCGGCTATTTTTCTTAATTCATGGTTCATTCGTCTGCTATATTCTCCTTGTTCTATCTTTATTTAGCCGTGTATTCTCATAATTTTTCTTTTAATATTTATTAGTTTCTCTTTATCTTTTTGTTTGCTTTCAGCTTTTTTATGCCATCACCGATCTAATTGCTTATATTCTTTTTATAAAACTTTTTATAAAATTTTTTGAAAACTTATATTCTTTTTATTTAACCTATATAGTATACTAATTTTAGATTTAATTTGTTACAGATTCTAATCAAATAAACTAAAAATGAAGATGAGAAGAGTTATATTAGATGTAGATGTTGGGACGGACGATTACATGGCATTGCTGCATTTATTACATGCAGAAAATAGAGGCGAAATTAAAATTGAAGGAATAGTCTGTACAAGTGGAAATACTGATCTTGACCATGTTGTAGTTAATACTGTAAGGCTACTGGAACTTATAGGAAGGACTGACGTAAGTGTATTTGAGACTATTAGTGACATGGATTCTAAAATATTATACTATCGCACAGCTCTAAATATGGGCGCCATATAATTTGAGTCACTTTCTTCTTTTTGTGCCGCTCCTATCGGAGATTGGAAATCATCAAGGCTATTCTGACCTTGTTTACGGCTGACCTAAAGAGTTCATTAGTGGTGCAGCCATACCACTCTCTCAAATTCCGCAACCATGACATTCTTCTACGGCCTGGATTCCGTTTTCCTTCTATTTTTCCCTGCATTATATTTTGAAGTAATGCGTATTTATGTCCTCTCATCAGGTGACCAAAATATTCGAGTTTTCTTCGCTTTAGCGTTAACAAAATCTCTGGGTCTTTTCCTATTCTTCGTATTACTTCACAGTTTGTTATTCTTTCAACCCAACTAATCTTCAGCATTCGACGGTAGCACCACATCTCGAAACTTTCAATATTTTTCATGTTGTTCTGTTTGAGAGTCCAGACCTCTACACCGTATAATAGAGTGTTAAATACATAGCCTCTCAGCATTCTTAATCGTAGAGGGATGCTTATATTTCTGTTACAGAAGAATTTTCTCATCTTTATGAAGGTGGCCCTAGCAATTTCGATACGTCTTTTTATTTCACTGTTTTGGTCTCCAGTTTCGTTTATTAAAGTTCCCAAGTATTTGTAACTTGATACTTTTTCAACTTGAGTGCCGTTTATACTAATATACGCTGGTTGTGTCATGTTTTTACTGAAGACCATATACTTGGTTTTTTTAATATTGATATTTATACCATAATTGTTGCAAGCAATATTTATGTCTGTAAGTAATCTTTGTAATTCTTCTACTGTTCTTGCAACTAGTACAGTGTCGTCCGCGTATCGAATATTATTTACAATCTCTCCATTAATTACGATTCCTCCGTTTGCTTGTAAAAGGGCTTCCTGACAGATGCTTTCACTATATACATTAAATAACAGAGGTGACAAAATGCAACCTTGTCGTACTCCTCTACGTATTTCTATTGCTTGTGATGTTTCAGTTTCTATTTTGATGTTAGCTTTCTGATTCCAATATAGATTGAGAATTATTCGCAGATCTTTATTATCTATGTCCTTCCTTTCAAGAATCTCTCTAAGCTTATCATGGCGTACTCTGTCAAACGCTTTCTCAAAATCGATAAAACACGTATGTACCTCCTGATTAACGTCTAGGCATCTTTGTGTAAGAACATTCAAACCGAAGAGAGCTTCTCGAGCACCAAGCCCTTTTCTGAACCCCATCTGTGTATTACTAATATCTGACTCCAACTTTTGATAAACTCGGTTGTGGATGATTTTTAGAAATATCTTTAGTAGGTGGCTCATTAAAGATATTGTTCGATGTTCTGAACATTCTTTAGCATTAGATTTCTTTGGCAGTGTAACGAATGTAGACAACAGCCACTCTTGAGGTATAATACCAGTATTGTATATTGTATTAAATAAGTGCAATATTATACCTATTGATTCATCATTCAAGAGCTTTAGCAATTCGGTAGGAACCTCATCCGGTCCATTTGCCTTCCCAGTTTTGGAATTTTTAAGTGCCATTTCTACTTCACATTTTAGAATTTCAGGTCCCGTTTCGCCATATATCAGAACAATGTTATTTCTGTTGTCCTCAAATAATTCTCTTATGTATTCACTCCATCTATTAATTTTCTCTGTTAAATCTATAATAATCTTTCCATCTTTGTTCTTAAGCAAACTTATTTGACGTCTTCTTTGGGTTCCTGTAATTTCTCTTACTTTTTTATGTATATTGAACGTGTCATACTTTCTTTCATAGTTTTCCATTTCTACACATTGTTCTGTAATCCATGATTCTTTGGCATTTCTTATTCTTTGCTTTATGTTCTTATCAACCTCTTTGTATTTTTCTGCATTATTCTTCATTTTACGTCTTTCATCCATTAGTTCTAGAATGTCTGGTGTCATCCACACCTTATGTTTCTTTGCAGATTTGGTTAGATGTTTCTTTCCCGTAGTTCTTATTATAGTATTTATATACTTAAGTTTTTCATCTATGTTGTCTGTTCTGCGGATTTGGCTTTCTGCTACACTGAGGCTGGTGTTTATTTCTTCTCGCACTGTTTGTCGTAGATGTTCATTTTTAAGCTGGCTTAAGTCTAATGCTGGAATGATGGCTTTTCTTATCTTCTTTGGTCTAGCTTCTATCACAGATACTACTGGATTATGATCCGAACCGATATCAGCTCCAGGGAAAGTTTTAGTAGATTTTACGGCATTACGGTATCTTTTTGTCACCAATATGTAATCTATTTGGTTTCTGACCACTTTTTCTTGTGTATGTTGAGGTGACGTCCACGTATATAGTCGCCTTGGGGGTAGTTTAAAGAATGTATTAGTTATTATTAAATCTTCGCTTTGACAAAACTGAACTAAACGATCACCCCTTTCATTTCTGTTACCTAAGCCATATTCACCGACATTTTCTCCAACTTTACCCTGACCTACCTTGGCGTTCAGATCGCCCATTACTATGTTAATGTGTTGTCTCTTTGTTGTTCTCATCACCTCTTCTAAGATATTATAGAATTGTTCTATTTCCTCTTCGTCTTTGTCTGCTGTAGGAGCGTACACTTGTATGATGTTTATCATGTTCTTCTTATCTTTTAATTGTATTAACATCACGCGCTCTGAGAATGGAGTAAAGTTTAGTACAGCATCTTTCCATTTTTTTGAGATGATGACTCCTACTCCGTATCGATGGGTTTTGGTGTCACTTCCGGCATAATAAAACATACCATGATTATTTGTGGGACATTTGCCGTTTCCTGGCCATTGTGTATCGCTCATGCCTAATATGTCTATACCCAAACGATCCATTTCCAAGACGACGTTATCTAATTTTCCCGAAGAAAATAAGCTCCTTACATTCCATGTAGCAATTTTTATGGTTGTCTTTTTCTTTTTACAAGGGTTTCGCTGGTTTACGACCGAGAAAGCCTTGTACTTATCTATTTCTCTTTCTCTGCCGGATCTTGGTATCCGATGTCCATGATCAGTACTTTTCCTTTGCATGTCTACCATGATGATTACTACTAGGGGTACTCTATGAGTCTTTAATGCAGTGGTTCCCCGTTGCCTTCTGCATCCTTATGCCGTTGACCATTCTGTAGGGTTCATCCGCCTTCGAGATCGATTTCTCGGTCTCAGGACAAAAAAGTGCCCTAACACTTACCAACTCATCCGCCCGAAGCCGTTGGTCAGTAAGTGTGGGATTGCTTATACCGGCAATCGCTCGGTGAAATTTTCGCCATATCTGGCTACCCTCACTTAGTTTAGCCTGCAGACCAATGCAGTTGCCCGGGGTGTGGCACGTGGAGCCATAAGTGAGAGTTAGTTGCCTTATGAGGACCAGTTATCAAGAACCATCTCCCGTCTATGACGCTCGATGTGGTCGTTCCGATAAAAGGTGCTACCTCTATAACACAAACCTACACCCCTTGACACTCACCAAAAAGTAGCTGCAGCATACGACCCAATGCTGTGTAGTCAGGCAAGAAATATTTGATAGTTTCATGTTGTCAAACAGCCCCATTGTATGCAAGTCTCCTTTGAACTGGTCCATGTTTAGTAAGGAAGTCTATAAGGAACTCTAGGCTTACTTTACTTTACTTTATCGTGTCCGGACATGTCATTCATAAAATTTCGGCCCAGTATCGGGCTACGTCGGTTCCATCTTTGTTGGCGAGCCACAAATCTTCAAGGGTACATCGATGAGGACAGTTTCTGCATGTAAGAAGATATTCCATATTCTGTGTTTCTCCACAGTCACAGTTCACATCATCTTGGTCTATTTTTCCCCATTTTGCCATGTTTGATTTTACTGTAGCAACCCCCGTTCTTATCCTATTCAAGGTTTTCCACGTTTTAAAGTCTAGGGTCTGGCCGGTCCATTGAACCTGGGGAAGTGGAAAATACTCAGGTGGTTCATCCTGCACTGTTCCAAGGAAGATTTTCCTAGATTTAAGTCGCTTTCGTGGTGTTCGAGCTTTGTATAGGGCATGCCGATCGTCCGCGAGCTGTTTAATTTTCTCTATGTGTTCTGCAGCGCCTCTGCGTGTTGAGGGTTCTGCAAAACCCGCTGCTCTATATAGATTTGAAAGTGGCGTTGGTTTCATGCTCCCCGTTACTATCCTGCATGTCTCATTTAGCACAGTATCAACTTGTTTGGTGTGGGCAGATCTGCTCCAAACGGGACACGCATATTCAGCAGTTGAGAAACACAGTGCCTGTGCCGTTGTTCTTAAAACACCAGGACGTGCGCCCCATTTACTTCCCGTTAGCTTTCTGAGTATGCTGTTCCTAGTTGTTACTTTCCCTCTTGTTTTTATGCAATGTTGTCTATAGGTGAGGGACCGGTCCAAGAGTTACTCCAAGATATATAGGTTGGTTTGTGTGTTCTAATGTATTACCATTTCACACAATTTGGAGTTTTCGCTTGGCTTCCTTTGTGCGAAGGTGGAAAGCGCAGACTTGGGTTTTAGAGGGATTGGGTCTCAGAGAATTCTGCAGGCAAAAACAATGGCAACTCTAGGCTGTTAAACTCTGTTAGCGCCTGCTTATCTAACAGACATTTTGTCATGTGCATACATCAAAAAACGAGGGTAGAATGTTGTTATCTTCTACATTGACATCGCTCAGAGTATCTGGTTTTCTTAATTGTCCTTTCTGTAGTTTTTTTATTCTCTCAATGGATCTGTCATTCTTAAAGCTAGTAAAAATTATAATTTTGAAAAGAAGTTGAATATAAAAAACTAACTCTTTTGCAATCTGGTTGTATGATCTAAAAATTCAAATCTTGTTTCATTGCCTATCAATTTCCTAATATTTTGATTTGCCAATTTTAGTGTTGTGTTCAATAAATTAATTTCTCTGCAATTTTTCGGGTACAATTTTGTCTTCCTTTTTTAAGGGAGGTATTAGGATGCTTGAACTTTGTTCATGAGGAATTAGTTTTAATGGTTTGTACTTTAAGAGTTCATTCAGTATTCTGTTGTATCCTGATGATTTTCTGTTTTTTTTTTAATTCGTTAATGCCTTTACTTCTTCCTCCTCAATACTTGTTCCCGTGTTTGTCGTCATCTCTGGTACTAGTGGTCCATTATATTCACTTTTAACAAATAGGGATCGGAAGTAGTCTGCTCATGTTTCTTTCTGAATTTGTTTAGTTTTTGTTGGTTAGTTCATCTCTTTTCTTTGTCTTCTATTCGTTCTTGATATTTCTTTTTGAGTTTCGTAGAAATTAATATTTGAAAGATACAAATCAATTACTAATTATGATTAACAAGTGTATCAGATACTAATTTTAAATGTACCATAAAGATATAAGATATAATATAACTGTCATATTATTATGACAGTTTTTTTGTTTTTAGTAATTGTTCAGTATTTGATCGGTTTAGTCTAGTTTTGTAGATTTTATGTCATAAAGCTTTGTCTTCTGGTTTATTGATTTGATTTCTAATATTTTCGTTTTTCAATATCGTATTGTTTAGATATCATGCATTTTTGCGCGATATCATGATATCATTTTTGACAGCATTGTTCATTTGTGTACTTTTACTTCCAAAACTTAATATTTATAAAGTTTTTTTATATCGCATTGCTTAAATAAGAAAAAAATTGGTATCTTAAAAATTATAAATCACAAAATAATTTTTTATTTGTAGATTCCGGTATTCAAAGGAGCTAAACGTGAATTAATACTTTTAGATAATATAGAACGCTATCACGGTGAAGACGGTCTTGGAGACCTATATTATGACTCAGATCCAGATCTTTCAATAGTAAGTAAGACACCAGCAGCTATAGCAATACACGACATAGTAGACGCACACCCTAATGCAGTTTCACTAATCTGCGTCGGACCACTAACTAATTTGGCCTTATCCCTTAAACTCTATGACGACTTGGCTGCTAAGATTAAGGATGTATGGATTATGGGAGGAAACTATACTGGTAAGATTTCAGATTCAAATAATAAGTTAGCCATATTTTGAGAATATATAATATATACTATATTTGACTAAAAATCTTTTAATCAATATAAGGTTGAATGTTCGAATAATTAAACTTTGAGGGTATACAAGGCAACTATCGAACACGGTGATTAATTTAATCTTGCCCAAGTACTTTCGATCAATAGATCATCTTCAGGGGCATCTGAAATAAGCCAAGAAACGTTTTTTATTAAAAAGGAAAATTAAATCACTTGGATAAAAACTCCAAGTTTATGGTTGAAAAAAATTTTTTATATGTGATAAACGTTTATAGACTTACTTCGTCAGTTGTGGCCTATCCGACATAGTAGAATGTCATAAATGTAAAATTTGGACATAACAATACAAAATACAATACACTAAGACAAACAAACACTTTAAAATTTATGAGGAGAAGCTACATGTTGTATAGAAGCCGGAGACAGAATGGGCTCCCGGTCTGACGGAAATGTAGAGATGACATGTGACAAATGACAGCTTGTGAAGGGCAGTTATGTGATCTGCACCTTTCAAAATTCTATGACACTAAGTATTGACCAAAGGTCCAACTGACACCACTATAGGAAATCAACTGATGAAATATAAAATTATATAGTATAATTTTTTATGTAGATTGAATAATCCCAATCTCACACTCAAACCTGTCTATGATAATTATAATGTTGGTTTGAGAGCAATTGAAGTTGACATGAAGTATGAATGTGAGAAAAGACTAACAATATATTAGACAGTGGATAGTTGACTACAATAAAATGGTCCACCAAGCGCTATCAGTACTGTAAAAAAGAAAAATCTGAATATGCAGTTAAATTACTAAAAGTTAAAATCAAAATTGAAGACAAAATATATAAATGTGTTATAGTCCACGTAGTTCAGTTGAATCCACAGTCAATGGAAGAACTTTAAAATTAATATTGAAATTCTCAGTGCATGGAGTCTAAACAGTCGAGCTGGGTCCTCTACGAGGTGAAGCTGTAATAAAGTTTTTAAATATAGGATTAAATTTAGTACAATTTAAATTAATTTGAGTATTAAGACAGTGAGAGTTTTCATTTGTTTCCTTGTAATCTCCAAATCTTCCAATAAATCCAACTCAAGATAGTTTTTCTTTCTTCTAATGTCATGTAAGATAGATGAACCAGAATTTATGTTAAAATTGTGGTTGCTGGATACTAAGTGTTGACCTAAACTTGAAGAATTTGGTCTTTTCAAATGTTCAGAGACTCTAGTGGATAACTTTCTGATGGTTCTACCTACATAAGAGGCATCACAATCATCACATTTCAATTTGTAAATACCACTTTTATTAAGTGTATTCATCCTATCTTTGGTATTGATCAAGAAGGAACCTAAAGTGTTATGTGATTTAAAGGAATTTAAGGTTTGATGTTATCAATTGTAGAAGAAAAAAGTTTAGATATTTTATTGGAAATGCTACTAATATAAGTGAAGGAGAAGTATCTGATGTTATCTGAAGCATTCGGTTGGAAAAACTTTGAAGAATATGCAAGCTTTTCTGCAATTTTTAGTTCAGCTCTATTTAGAAGTTTGTATATAATGTTGGGATCATAGCCATTATTGAAAGCAATCTGCTTAAGAGTATTAAGTTCTGTATTAAAATTATCATCAGAGAGAGGAAATTTAAGTAACCGATGAATTTAACTGTTGAAAGGTATTTACAAATTGAAATGTGATGATTGTGATGCCTCTTATGTAGGTAGAAATATCAGAAAGTTATCCACTAGAGTCTCTGAACATTGGAAAAGACCAAATTATTCAAGTTTTGGTCAACACTTAGTATCCAGCAACCACAATTTTAACATCAATTCTGGTTCATCTATCTTACATGACATTAGCAGAAAGAAAAACTATCTTGAGTTGGATTTATTGGAAGATTTGGAGATTACAAAGGAAACAAATGAAAACTCTCACTGTCTTAATACTCAAATTAATTTAAATTGTACTAAATTTAATCCTATATTTAAAAACTTTATTACAGCGTCTCCTCGTAGAGGACCCAGCTCGACTGTTTAGACTCCATGCACTGAGCATTTCAATATTAATTTTAAAGTTCTTCCATTGACTGTGGATTCAACTGATCTACGTGGACTATAACACATTTATATATTTTGTCTTCAATTTTGATTTTAACTTTTAGTAATTTAACTGCATATTCAGATTTTTCTTTTTTACAGTACTGATAGCGCTTGGTGGACCATTTTATTGTAGTCAACCATCCACTGTCTAATATATTGTTAGTCTTTTCTCACATTCATACTTCATGTCAACTTCAATTGCTCTCAAACCAACATCCTAATTATCATAGACAGGTTTGAGTGTGAGATTGGGATTATTCAATCTACATAAAAAATTGGACCCCGTTATGCAACAAGGAACCAACCAACATTACCAAAGTTTTGAGAAAAATTAGAATAATGTTTAGATTGTTTCATGAAATTATTTAGGCATAAAAAAATGATTGACGACAATAAAATAAACACTTTTATTACAATAAAATGGTATTAATGATATTAGTAAAATACATAAGTACAATATGAACTCCTAAGGTAGAAAAAAATCACTTGGTTCTTTGTTGCTAAATGTAATATTAAATATCCACGTCTGGTTCGAAATCTATATCTCCATTAAATCCATCTATATCCTCTATTATAGAATTGTCTGCCGTTAGATTTGTATAAAAGCTGTGGTGTGCTGACGGTATTAAATGAAGATAACTTTGTACGTCTCTCAACTTTGCGTCTGCAACTGGTTTTCCCTCAGGCCATAATGGTTCTAAAAACGTGTTGTACTGTGGTCCGGTTGAAGCTTGTCTTCCTGCTACTTTCCGTATATTAATTTCTTGGTAATCGTCATTGTCTAGGTAAGTCGTCTTCAAAAAAATATTATAAGGCTTATCTTTAAATAATTTAACTTCTTTGGTTCGTAACCAACTTATCTTCTCGTTCGTAATACTTTTTTTTCTGTTTGTGATTTGTTTTTCTAATTTTGAGGTACTGAGAAAATCTTCTTTTACCATCATATTTACATTAATAGGTCGCTTTTGTCTACAAGTTCTCATTATATTGCTGTATTCTTCAGGTGAAAATATATTATTTTGCTTTTTAAGAGCACATTCGACATCTCCAAAATCACTATCATTCGGCAGAAACGTATGACCTGGAACAAGGAACCTCAGCCTAATAGTCTTTAAATGCTGTGATTCCTCCAAAAGACATTTTAACAAAAGTACTATTTTAATGTTTCTGTTTTGTCCACCGCAAGAGTCACTCCACAGAATAATATGCTGAACTTTATCGCTTATGTTAGCGAGAATGTATTTTCTTAGGCAAGATCCCACTTCTTGGGCTCCACGGCCTGCCTGTCCTTCTAGCCATAAATTAAATGTTGATTTTTTCTGTTTACCTGCATAAATTCCACAATTATATACCCATAACTGTCTTTTGTAAAATATAATATTTGAAGATATGCGAGGTAAAGGAAGCGTTTTTTCTAAATCGAAGGTCAGAGTTTCTGTTTGCTCGTCTTCTATTGCCTTGGCCAAGTCAATATTCATTTGTTTTCTTCCTAATTCTGCCTCTTCTACATGTAATTCGTGTTGTCTAACAATTTCCCGTTTTTCATCGTCGTTAATACTTTGTATCTTCACTTTAAATGCATCACATTTATTGCAAGTATCCTTTTTTGGCTTTTTTAGCCTCAAGTTAAAATCTCTCAAAAAAACTTTTTTAAAAGATGAAAAACTTACAGGTTTATCACTTTTTGGTTTGTAAAGATCATACATTATCGGTAAAGTAGTTCCTTCCTGCAAAAATTCTTGATCCATCTTCCGTGCTCTACAGTAATGGGATACATAGCGTGGAAATTGATTTATATGATTAAATATAATATTTTTTTCATCTGCTGAAATCTTGTTGTGTCCACCGCGAACACCTCGTTTGTCAAGTGTAGACAAATTTCTTACTTTTTGTAGAGCAGTATTTATACGTTTAGTTGACACTTGCAAAGTATTCGTATACATATTTCTACAAACTATAACCTTATTTATGAAATATTTCCTTGAGAACTGTCGTGTTGCAGGATTTATCGCATTTGAATTTTTTCTCTGAGCAAAATGTTCTCTAACGGATGTTGATATAAATGTTGTTTGTAGATTATAATCCGCTAAGTTCCAGTAATGTTCGAAAAACTGTTGGAGATCATCAGCAGAAAATTTTTCATGGCATCTTGCAGCACATGAGCACACAAATTTGATAAATGCTTTTGACTTAACAAGTTTTCCTCGAGCGGAGTAATACTCCATATTACTGTTCGTTTTCCTTTTTCTTTCCTTTCTGTCTTGTTCAGCATATTTTTTCTTTCTTCCTTTTTTTGGACGACCCGTGAAAGATACATCTGCAGTTAAATTAGTTTCTGCTTCATCATTAGGGTTCGAGTTATGGTCTGAAGGTTGTCCTAAACTTTCGTCGGATGAGACGTCGCTGTAGGTAGGTTGGAAATCTTTATCCTTGACGGAATCATCCGAGTCTTCGTCGTAACTGTTACCGTTAATAATCGATATATCATCATGTTTATGGGAATCACTATTGCTGTTACTTGGTCCCTGATTTTCTTTGCTGCTATTTTGCCAGTCCTGAAAAAGAATTTTGCAATAAGGAACCAACTTACATATTCGGAAAAAAATCAAAATTAAATAAAAAACTATAAATAAGCAGGACTGATTATGCTAAAAATTGGCAAATAACATGCTATTAAATAAAAATACCTAATAATATAGTCATAGGACAAAATTTTAGAGGTCTTTTAAGGTTAGAAGTAAAAAAAATATAAATTAATAAACCTACCTCTTGCAAATTGGAAATACAAGCTTCAGTGGAAGACGTTGGTATCAGCCTTACATTATTCATGATTTTTTGCACCCGTTGCGAAAGAAATCTCTCG